AAGTAAACTTTGATAGAGTTACTTGGATGTCGGGGAAAATATATTTGTCCGGATATCAATATCGCACGCGCTCTCACAAACGCCATGGTGTAGGGAGCGTAGCTTTTACCGGCAAATGGCGGTTCGTTATTGCGACGCTCGTCGACGAGTAATACTCTCGGAGATGCCCGCGCGTCTGCCGTTCGTCCTAATAAATACGATGTCAACAATTTCCCGTTGGCTCCCGACGATGGCTGGCTTTGAGCTCTTCCGACGGCGGGGGGGAAAAAGAGCGCTATGAAAAAAATTCGCGTTATCGCGCCCGATGCGCTCGCGAAGCGCGCGCGACTGAGGTATCTAATTAACCAGCGTGGTCCTGCGGTGAACTCGCTCGATTAATACCGACCGGTGACGCGCGGTGAAACGAATTTAATCCTTTTCGTCGTCGATGACTGGCAGAATCCGCCGCTGATACTACGGATCGTCGAGCTTTAACTTTCGAGCGAGCATCGGTCTCGCGTCAGCCGTAAATAATCCTTCGGCGCGATAATTGAATCAGCCGCCTCGAGAGTCGAATGATGATAGCTCCGAAAAAATTCAATCGCTCGTATCGAAGTAAACAACCGTTTGCGGCGGCGCCGCTCAGGTATGACTGTCGTTTTCAAACGGTACGCCGTCTCGAGAGTGCCGTCGCGACGCAGATGTTCCGCGGATCATTAAATCACAGATCGTTGGATCGTTCCTTGAAAATCACGGACTTTTCTCGTTTCCGAAATAATTCACTTTCGTTTCTTCATTTCTTCTGATTAATTCGCTGGACGCGCGACAGGTCGAAAGGGAATGCGGATCGGTGCCTCTTTATTATTTTTTTTACACTCATAAATTTAATAGCGATATTATGTGAAGCGTTTAAAAATAAATCATGATCGATGGGCTGACGGTGGAGTTTCACCGTATATCGCCGTGTGTAATATATCACGTTTGCACTGACAACGATTTTTACGATCGTTCGCGATCAGTGGGCCGTTTTATCGTTGACTAATAGCGCGGCAATGTTTCCGCGAGCTGGAAAGCGTCCGTCGATAACTATCGTTCCCGGTTTCCACCTTCGTAGGTATCGATTGTTTGTCCGTCTGTCTGTTCGCTCGCTCGTCGTCCAGGAATTCTATTTATTAACGAGCGAGCAAACGGCCGGCGCGCGCTGGTTTCTCAATCGGCTAATACTTCCTGCAGGAAGTTGTAAGAGAAACGCAGCCCCGACGAAGCAGGAATGCACGAAATTTGCAAGCGCGGCGAGCCACTTTCGCGGTTCGATTCGTTCCCTACCGACGTGGGAATGCGCGAAACGAGCTGGAGATTGTTTTCTCTTAACCGTTCCCGCCGCGGTTAAATCTCCGCGGCAATATCCGCCGAAATGTCACGCGAGCGCGCCGCGCCGTTGTTTCCAAACTACTTCTCGCCGGACTTTTAACTGTCGAAACAGAAACGCCGACTTTTTGCCGCGTATATTCTTTTTCGAAGAACTGAAGAAGCCGGGCGGGAGAATCGCGAGAGCTTTCAAAGCCGAGAGACATGTATCTCGATACTTTCGAGGCCGATAACGCACCATGATAGGGATTTATATTTATTATACTTCTATTTTACTTATTTCTTCTTTTCTTGCAATATTTACGGGTCTTCGCGCTCGTACAATTGCAGTAAGATCCGCGAATTGTTCAAGTTGCGCGCGTCTATCTCTTTTTCTCCCTCTCTCTTTCTTTCTTTCTCCCGCGACAAAACTAGGACCCACCAATCTCTTCCACGAAGCGTCGCGTAATTCGATCGACGCCGGGTTAAATTTCATTTTCGCGCCTAGCCCGCGAAGAGTGATTAAGCCAGATTGACGTCACTCTGTACGAGCCCATAGAGCCGCTCCCGGAGATTGTTCGTTCGATTCAAGCCACGTCCATCACCGACGTCGTCATTGAGTACCTGCTACTACCACCAGCCCCGTCCTCAGTGTCGCCCTTCGCACACAATTCACGTTGCATCCCGGCCGAGCATCCTGGATGCCGGTCTGCATGGCTATATCAAATGCTGCTGTGCTACCTGATCACCATAAAAATTTATACGCCATCGTCCGCGACCGTAAATTGTATTATCGAATGCGCACCGTCGGCCGCCCGTTCCTCCGGTATCCAACGTCGCCTCCACCACCGGTTTTCATACCACCGTGTCGGGAAAACCGAGGGAATTTCTATTAAGTATATAGCCGATTCTAAAAAGAGGTGAGGTGCGGGAGGGAGGTTCCTGCGTACAACGACGCAAAATTTCCAGCTTCGTTGAACGTTTTTGCCGTCTCGCATTCCGCCGTCCGCCACCGAACGTGCGCTCCTCCGACTCGTTGCGCGCGCGTGCGCTCGTAACGTCTCTCCTGCAAC